TTTCGGCCTCCATCTTGGCCTTCTCCAGCGCCTGATGGGCCTCAAGCCGGAGCTGCTGTAATTCCCGCGTGCTCGCCTCGCCCGAGGATGCCAAACGGCGTTCCGCGGCCTCGAGCTGGTTTTTGAGCATCCCCGCATACGCGCGATGCTTCTCCTCCGCCTCCTGCAGCCGCCGCTCGGCGCTTTCCTCGGCCTGGTAGCGCTCCTCCTCGAGCCGGCTCCGCAGCTCCGCGTGGTCGGCGTTGAATTGGGCCTCCTGCTCGCTCAGCGCGCGGCGGACGGCGTCGAGATCGGTCATCCCTCGCGCCGTGAGGGACGCCACCGTCTCTTCCAGTTGGGCGATCGTCGCATCGTCCTTTCGATGCCGCTCGGACGCGTCGTCCTGGTGGCGGCGGTACTCCACCGCCAATGCGTCGTAGTTCGCCTGGATGGCATCCCGCTCCTGATGAAGGGAGTTCTGCCGAACCTGCAGCCCATCCCTCTCTTTCTGGACCTCCTCAAGCCTATGTTGAAGGTCAAAATACCGTTCATCGCTTTGCCTCACTAAAAGCGCGGCTCGGTTTCGTTGAGTCTCCTCATTCTCTTGAAGTTGTCTTTGAAAAGCAAGCTTTATTTCCACCATTTCCTTTTGACATCTCTCTAGCACGGAAGAGGCGGATTCCTGAGAGTGCTGCTCAGCTTTCCGCAAAGCTTCCTCATAGGATTTTTTGAGGGAACACATGGCCTCGGAATTTTGCGATTTCAATAAATTTATTTCCTTTTTAGCCTCCTCTAATGCTGACTCAAGCTGAGAAATACAGGAATATTTATCCTGAATCAAGGTGGAGAGTGATACATGCTGCTTCTCCAACTCATCATTCATGGAACACAGCTTCTCATGCCGTTTACGCAGATTATTGAGATCTTCCTCAGCTGAGGCCTTCTGCGTCCTCGCAATGTCTAGATGATTCTTCGCATCGACGCAGTCAGAGGACAGTTTCTCGACTTGACGTTGAGCCTCCTTCAAACTCTGCCGCGCTTTTTCTAGTTCTCGCATCGCCTCGGATCGGTCTTTGGTCATGAGGTCTAGCTGCTTCTGTATGATCTCCTCGCCACTTTTTGCGGTGTCCAAATTTTCACACATCTTATTCATCTTCTGCTGAAGCCCCTTATTTGTATTTTCCAGCTCCCGCCGCTGTGCTTCTAGCTGCGATAGCTGTTCTCTGACACCATTCAACTCCCTTTCTAATGTGCTTGTTTTTCCCATCTCGGACAGCAGCTGCTTGCTTTTGACACCTAGCTGTGTATCAGATGAATTTTTTGAGGATTCCATATCCTTCTCCATGGCATTAACCTGAAGCTTCCATTCCGCACGCAATTTCTTCTCTAACGTATCTCGGATGTCCATCTGTTCTACCAGCATGGACTTGTATCGATGATTGTACTCCTTTACCAAATTACTAACCTCTAAATCCTTCGCCTCCCGAAGCTTATCGAATTCCTCCTGCCTTGCGCTGGTGCTTTCCTCTTGGAGTTTTTTCAACCTACATTCGTAGTTCTCCTTTGCTTCTTCCGCTGCTGCGGTGATTCGCTGAACTTTCCCGGCAAACGCATCTCGAGCCTCGTTTATAGCATGTTGATAATTTGCCTCGATAGTGCGCACCGTTTGTGTTTTGTTATTCTCCGCCTGCTTGATTTTGGCGGCCGCGGCCCCCACCTCTTTCTTGCACTCCTGTTGTAGGCGTTGGATCTCATTGTCGTGGCATAAACTCTGCCACCTCATCCGCTCCTCATTATCTTCATTTCGGCAGTTAAGAGTGTAAACAACCTTGGTGAGTTGTGCAATCTTTTTGCACATTTTAAAGTCCCAACCCTCTGTTAAAGTACGCGGCGAGGCCGCGGTCGACGTGAGCTTGACAGTCATATTGAAAGAAGATAATATCAGAAAGTTAAAGAAAAGGACCAGAAACCAAACTACTTTGATGCTACTTTACGCGATTCAACTGGTCAGTTTTACGAATGTATGTTAACGCTCACACCAAAAAGTGAAATATCAAGGTGGTGAATCCTGGCTTAGAGCAAAAAAAAAAATACCTTCGCTATTAAGTCACCAACGAGCAAAATAAATGCATCCACTAATGATAAATAATAAAGGAAACTAAATGAAAAGCTAAGAAAAGAAGATAAAAAAATTTATGTATTCAATAAACAATCACTAGAAATCAAACGATGATTTCGTAATGAGTTTCCCCACTTTAATAGATGGAAAGCTAAAAAAAAGTAATGTCTTAGGAAAATGTTAGATTATTAACCTAGTGAAAAGCGAACAAGCTCTAAATCGACACGTCGTTTACAAAATGAATATTTAATTAGATTTCGTTATTTCTATTATGCCGTGAAAACTAACCCCTGTTTTACAGCTCCACTGTGGATATCGTATTGGCAGTTAAACATCAAATTGAATTGGTTAGCACCCCGAACCTCTCCACCGAAGGGAAGCTCTAAATTAATCTTCAGCTTGTTAAATCCCTTGAGCGATGCCACAAGCTTCGACCCAGTCAGGAAATTCTTTCGGCATCCGATATTGAAGTGCGTATTCGTGCCCTCGCGACCTTCCTTGTAATCAAGCTCAATCGCAGCATCCATATTTTGGCCCCAGTCAAAGGACGTAGCCGCCAGCTTCCACGTGCCTTTGCTTGGCGTCCATTCAGCTATGAAAGACGTATTTTTCTTCGGTGTCGTAAAAGACGCCGCATGAGAAAGTACAGAGGAGTGGGTGTTGGGGTCTATACTCAGGCTACTACCCAGATAAAAGCCCCGGATGATGCGCTGGATGTGGCTCATGGTGAAGGATTGGTCCTTGATGTACTGTAGCTGCGAGCATCCACCAGAGACCCAGGGGTACTGCAGCATGGCAAAGACGGTGCCCTGGCAAAGACCCTGCTGCTTTTGCGCCATAAATTGCGATACCAACATCGCGCCTCTACTGGAGACCCGCTGGTACATCAGTTGATACCGGTTTAGCGTATTCCACGAGGCCGCTATGATGTCAGAAAAGCCGTTCATCTGGAAATTGATCTCCCAGTGCGACATCTGCGGGTTGACAAGACACCACTTCGAGGCGATCAAGGTATTCTGTAGGTTGCGACTGACGTTCAAATTAAGGCCTTCTTGAACTTCATTGTTGTTTGCCTCCAGAAGAATGCCCTGAGCTTTCTGAAACAGATTGTCGTAGGTGACAACTTTGTGGGCCATTGGTGGACCTTCTTTTGCGGAATCAGACAGCTTCTTTTCAAATAGCTCACGACTCTTTTGCGGCGAGTCTTCAGCCTCGAAAGTTTTTTCCGCATCTAAGACCATACGCCCAGACTTTTTGGGTGCCTCCGTTTTCTCCGCTTCAGCAGGAGTGCCTTTCAGCCATTCCTTTAGCATTTTAAGCCTAAATTAGGTTAATTTTATAATCCGATAATTAAAAAAAACACAACTAATATATTCACCGAGGTAATATAATGCAGTGGTAAAAAAAAACAGAAATTCGGTAAAACAATTTCAGACTCCATACTGATAACATGGAATAAAAAAATCCTCCAATTTCCAGAAATAAAAATTAGAATCCACATGGAGGTCAGTACTATCTAAATATATAGTATAATAATTCAATCAGTATTTATCCTGCCGAAATAAATACGTTTGTCATCGTTAGTCTACCTCTTTCAATGCTTCTCCATAACTCACACCTTTCGAGTTTTTTAATAGTAATAAAACATAGACAATCAACCTTTTAATCCTAATACTTTCTTTCACTGTTCATTATTTCTAATTTTTTTTCGATCTCTCACCACATAAATATACCCACACGTACCGCGAAGATGAAGGAAAACTGAACAATTTGATGTAATAAACCCAATATCAGAAAAAAAAAAGGGATGCTTTTTAGTCCCTTTGGCTCCTTCGCTGCGGTGTACGGAACAAAATCAAGTAACAAAATCACAATAACAAACAAAGGGTTCCTTCTCACAATCATTTTTTCCTAGATTACGCAAGCGAGTTTAGTCTGCCTCTGCGACGGCCGTTAACCAATCCTCAACCTGCTCCTTTGAGGCCAACGCCATGTTTCTGTTCTCCAGCGTGCAAACACCCACTTCTAAATCGGATGCCTTCAGTGACGCGCCCACTGCGGTCTGCACCGCAGCTAATGCGATCATTGCGGCTTCCTTCTGATCCAACTCGTCAAAGGGCTTACTCTTCTGGCGCTTTTCCAAGAAAGCGAGGGCCTCGACATCCTTCTTCCCATTCGCCACGGCGTGGTAGCCCCCGACCCATCCGGCGGGATCCACGGTGAAGATCCGCGGCACCCAAGCCCCATCCTCGTCCCGCTGGTCCATCCCAATAAGCGTCACGATGACGCCCATGGGGCGCAGCCCGGCCTGCTGCGTGCGCACCTGTGCCTTATCCCCAAGCCGCTTCGCCAGAAGCTGAATGGGGATGGGCAGGCCATAGCGGGAATGGTATTCGGAGGCCTCCTCGCGGGCGCGTTGAAGCATCGCGCGCCCGTCCGGGGCCCGTCCGGTCATACAGCAGCCGATATTATCCGCGACGTTAAACAGCGCGGCAACGGAGCTGGGCCGCATAAGGCGGTCAGGGACCTGATGCTGGGTGACCACCAGCACCCCCGTCCGGTACTGCACCGCCACGGTAAGCAGGCCAGAGTAGGCGACCGCCTTGAAGGCGTACTCCACCTGGTACAGCGAGCCCTCAGGGCTGAAGACGGTGATATACTGATCAAACCCCGCACGACTCATTACGCCCTATAAGGAAGCTGTAACGGAAGAACAGAAAAAAAAGGGGGGGGGTCCACGGGGATGGGCTCGTGGTTGGGGGAATTCGGTGAAAAACGGGTTCGGGAAAGTGAACCGATGCACTCAAGGCACAAATCAAGAAGGCTTCTGTGGGTGACGAATGCGATAATATATATATATATATATATGGGATTACGGTTTGCGGTATAGAGTTCTCGTACGTTGAGGAAACTGGAAAAGGGGAGAGAGGAAAACGTGGCATGTATGATGAATATCGACAGGCGTAAATAACATATTTAGAAGTGAATACAGAAGATGATCCAATTGGTGTTGTGCCTCAGGTTTACAAGGAGTTTTTTATCGTAGTTTTTCATTGACTTTTGACGTCATGAGAATTTTAAACTTAATATAAAGCTAAGCAGTATTCCATTTTCCAGCATATTTCTTTTACATAAAAGACCTGTACATGTGTACTATTGAAAATAATTCAATTCCATTGAGATCATCCAATAAGACCATAAAGATTAAAAGTAAAAGCTACTAAGTTTCAGGGCAATTATAATAAAGCATAAACCTTAACGAAGTACAAAATTTCACACATTTCCTATTCGTGTACACATATGCCACATCGCCTCAAGGCATCTAAAATCACGTCAGATATAGACTTAGTGTAACGGGAGAAACGCTGCACGTTAGATTTTTGAGATTTTTCTAACGTACATTTTTATAATTTTTTACACATCACAAAGCAATTCTTAGGAAAAAAAATCACTATTACGGTCACAATATGATTTGGGGGGGACCTTAAGTTATTTGACAAGTAGATCAATCGGCCATACATTCAAGTTTTCCGGATCGAAAAATACCCCTCCTTCTTTATCCAACGTCGACAGCGCACAATCCAACCACATACATACAACGTCAGCTCTTTTCTTACTAGTACCGCCGGCAAATGTTGTGACATAACCAGAATAGTCTGCATAGCTTTCGACGGGACAACTGTTATCATCGTCAAGATAGCCAACTGTTAATGGCAATGAAACGTCGTCTTTTTTTTGCTCATTGACGTCTGTGAGGACTCCATTGATAGAACGGGGGGAAACCTTCCCCACTGGCAGCGTCTTATTACCAATAAAGGCAAGAGAACTACCACAACCCATCTCACTTTCCTTTTTGAATCCTTAGACACTCAAAAAAAATTAAAGATTAAAAATATAATATCTGTAAAATGTAATATTCTGCATGGAAGCTCAATGCTGTTAGTAATAATTTTACTAATCTTAAGTAAAGGTATAATTTTATCACCGATTCACGATAAATGTGTCATTTGGACAATAATAAATAACCCTTTCGCAACAGCGAATCACGTAAGGGGAAAAAAAAACCTGCAACAAGCACCCTATTGAGACAAAGAGAAATACCGCTGAGGGTTTTAGTCACTTGTTAATAGTAATTTTTGCGGTAAAATCGTGCAAATATGCGATCCCCATGTTTTTGGATAGAATTTTCGAAGTTTCGCCGGAGCGGACCTACGCGGGTCTCCATGGCATTTTTTACTGAAGTTGCTTCATTGGTTTGAATATGCATAGCCCCGCCCGGAGCATTGGAGCCTCCACCGCCCGCGACCACGCTCTGCAACTGCGCGCGATCACTCGTCAGCCAGTTTCCTGGCGCAGTGAAGTCTTCGTAGTGTTTTTCATATTTATGCTGCGCAATTTTGAGCTTTTCCAGCTCAACCAAGTTTCGGAAGCCACTAAGGCCGTATTCCACGCTAAAAAGTGCGGCGTAGCGCATTTCAAATATTGAAGCACTAGGCTGCAGTAAAGATTCCTTAAAACGAATATACTCCTCGACGCTGTATTCAGGCTTGAACCAGTACGGCTGTCGTAATAGGTGTACACCCTGGTTGTAGTGAATCATTTCCTGCACGATGTGTTCACTAATAGTGTCGGCAATGCGCTCGACATGAAAGCGAAATCGGTTATGAATACCAGTACGCAAGTCCATACAACACGCTGCTGCCGCTACTCCAATATTGGGGGTATCTTCCTTAATAGGGTATAAAACGTGAAAGCCCTGAACGCTGTAGTCTCCATAGGGGAGCAGGATAATATTATTTACGGCGATATCGTGCTCCTCCAGCACATCCCTGCATGGAGTACCGTCTTCAATCGTCCAATGGTTTAGAAATTTGTCGACAAGCATGTTCCGCGGCACATCAAGTGGAATCTCGGCTGCGGAAAGCGTCAGTTCATGAATCGCGTCGAGGACCTGATCGTCGAAAATGGCCGTATATCGAGGAAGCGTGTAGGAAACTAGGCAAAACGTCTCGGGCGCGTACGCCTCCAGACACACCACCCCGAAACTCCTGGAACCACCCCTCGTGAGTTCCCTTGCTGGCTCAAAGCGA